TGGCCAACATGCACCCTACCCTGCATTAAGGGCAAACATATAATTTTCTACTGTATGTTTCCTAAGACACCTACAGCCTCTGTTGGATCCACGGTAAGGAGGGACTCCCTTCAATATTAGGGTTTTTTTGAGTAACCAGTAGAGATTTTGTAATACCAGTGGAAGTAGGAGGAAAGGGTAGTAAGAAAGAGGTCTAGAAATTATTTACCCTGTCCATACCATGGATACATGCCCAGGAAGATTTCAACTGAATGCCTTTAAAACAGTGGTAAATAGCTTATTAGTGTAGTTAATTGCATGATTTAGCTGAGGAGTTGCACAGACAACCAAAGACAATGCACAGCAATGAGCAAAGAAAATATACAGGAAGGGGAATGAAGGGAATTTTTCCACTGCCTCCTTTGGGAAGCAGCTACTGAGGCAGAGCAGACATTACATTGGTAGCCCCTTTAATGCTTTTGTCTAAAATTCCCTGTGGAGAATGCAGAGTTGTAGCGCGTGCGCGCACACACACACACACACACACGTTTATATTGTTAGTGCACCGCATGGATACAAAATTTGTAGTATCTGCATTCATATCTGCAAAAATCAGACACGGATATCCACAAATTTGCAGAATCAACTAGGGATATAAGTGACTAGTTGACTACTCAACTAGTCACCTGCCCCGGGGACAGAGTGCAGAGTTCTTGGCACAGCATCTGGTACTGGGCACAAGCCGGGACAGCTGACTCCCAGCTCACACCCTGTCCCCTGCTGCGCCTCTGCCTTTTAAATGTAGTAATAACCGTGTGGCTCTTACAATGTTTAAAAGGCAGAGCAGAGCTGCAGTGGGGCATGTTCCTGGGGCCAGGAGCTAACCCCACTGCAACTCTGCACTTTAAATGTAATAAGACCCAGACGGGCTCTTACTACATTTAAAGTTCAGAGCCGCAGCAGGAGTGTGTCCCCCATATTGACTAGTCTATGGTAAATCCATCGACTACTCGATTAGTTAATTAACTAATACTTAACATCCCTAGTCTCAACTGAGGACATTTTGGGACCAAACCTCAACAATGGCAAAAACAGAACTAATACACAGCCAGTTGCAATGTTGCAGCTCCTAGGATGGTATGTATGGATCCTATTCTGTCAGCGTACAAGAGACTCATGAGTGTTACCCTATGAACTCCATATATTATTTAACAGGGTGCTGCACAGAAAACTGCAAGCTAAACAACCATCATTTGGAGCCTTGAGACACCTGAAAAAACCTCCAGAGTCCAATATAGGGACATTAACGGGTTACCCAGTAATCCGGAGCAATCCCCTGCCTGCAGCTCAGGTGCCCCCATGGGCTGGGAACTGGCAGCCCCTGTATAGGGGCTGGGAGTGGTGGTGGCACCAGCAGCCCCCCCACATGGGACTGGAAGCAGCTGGGCTAGAGCTGCCCCTGCCTGCAGCAGGGGCCACTCTAGCCTGACCCTGGCAGGTGGGGGGGTGGGCATTCTCTCTACCCACACTCTGTTAAACTGTTAAATGCAGTGTTAGCTCTACGTTTAACTGTTTAACCAATTAAACAGGTTTTTACATCTCTAGTCCAAAGCAGCTTAAATTATGTGTGTAACCAGAACTATCGATTTGGGAGAGAAGTATTAAGTATTACGCAGATTTTAATTTACGGGAGTAAATAAATACAAAAAAGAAGAGAAAGTCCACAGTGAGAAAATCCACTTCCATTGCACAGGGTTGTCTGTTTGACATGGGAGAACACAGTAAAGGAGAATTTTTAACATGGGTAATCTGACAAGCTAAAGCATACACACCCTGGGAGCAGGAGCAAATTTAAAACAAGGACCTTTCAAAATGGTGTACTGTCGGCATCAGCAAAGCACCATGACAAATGTGAATTAAAATAAAGAAGTCATGACCCTTCATAAATGTAGGGCTTTATCAAGGTTCCACTGTAAAAAACTGAGATCATCTACATCTAATAGCCCATTAAACCTGTTACAAATAATTATTAAATCAAAGGAGGAAAAAACAATGTCAGCCTTGTGTGTGTTTCATTGTTGAATAATGACACTGTTTACCTTTCTTGTGTAAAGTATTACGGCTCTGGATCCAACTTAAAAGCACAGCAGATGACAGATTTAATTATATCTTTCCCTCTTAGCTACTAGTCTCTGGGTTATTTATTAACTAGGCCTGCATATATTCATAGTTTTGACTTGCCGTCTAATATAAAAGTCTGCCTGGGCACTTTTATGCTATGTTCCTTTATTAATCTGTGGTGGTTTTTTCCCCTCTGGACCCACTAAAATGTCAATACAACCTCTGGGCTGTGATTTAGTCAGAGCTCATGAACTAAGCACAGTAAGGATAGATCAATAATTCAGATGAGAAACCACAAAGAGAAAATGCCACAGATGTGTGGCAATAGATCTGTAGGTGTTACCACTCTCTCTAGCTGTGTCTCCACTAGCATTTTGTTGTCTGACACCCCACTTTGGAACTACCAAAGTAACAACATGGTACTAGCCCCCACTTTGGAACTACCAAAGTAACAACATGGTACCAAAGTAACAACATAGTGTATGAAATCACTATCTTCCCTCCTTAGAAGAAATAGTCAAAACTGGTCATATCCTCTCTTATTCCAGCTAGCGATAAAAGTTGGCTTGGAGTTTGTCAGCTGTAAGAGCCAAGGCTGGCACTTGGTTCCTTCTCTGTTCCTGCTATTTAGGGCTCTACTTGACTAGATAGAGAAGCTAGACCTGCTCCTATGGGAGGAAGATGAGAGCAAAGAAGCAGACCGGCTTTTGCCCAGGTGAGCCACTGGAAAGGGGAGGGAAGGTCTTTTCTCCTAGATATCCTGGAAAATGATATTTCCAAAGCTGCCTAGGATCTCTACACTACTAGGGGTCAGTC